AGACAAAAGTCACATTCGGTTGCATGTTGTTGAGTGGTGGCACTTGGCTGGTTCGAGATTAGTCCTCTGACATCAAAAGCGAAACACATTGCTCTAGTTCATGGAGCTCTGTTCCGATTCCAAGGTAAAGGTTTTATCTCGTCTCGTAAACTAATCCCTTGTTATTGCGTTGAATGCAGTGTGTTTTTTGTTGTATGTTTATTCCTTCTAAGCGCGTTGAATTGCCATAGTTAAGAATCTGCAAGGCTCGTGTCATCTTTACCCTTCTTATATCTTGCCGATTTTTCTTTTAGCTCGAGATTGATGGCGAGGTTTGAGGCCGACACAAGCGCTTGGTCGATACCGACAAGTTAGCTCAAGTGGCCCTCTACGACGACAAACAGGTGCTCTCAAAAGCTGGGCCACTCCTTGTTTTAACGAGTTCGTTTTTCTTCGATTTTGCAGCTATATGATACTGTTTCCAATGCGGAGTTGAATGATTGAGAGGGATAGCTAGCAACGACGATCATGCTAGTGGTAAGCTTTTCCCCTTGCCGCCAAAACAAAGGTGAAGGCCAACACCGAGCTAGAGTGGTAAAGCCAGCATCACTAAGTTTGGTGGTGTAAACACTGTATTTGTGGGCCATTTGTGTCTACGAGGAGGCATGCCCGGTGAGGGCTGAAGAACACACAGGACACAGAGAAACAAAGAAAGAAGGAAATTTGTGAACAGGTTGGGGGCTGGGAGAGGGGATTTTGGAGTCTCAAAAATCGAATTTTTTTCTTCCCGGAGCCGATCAAGGTGGAGAATTAAATGGCTTATTCTTGCTTCTCGGCACAGAGCAGGCAGTGGCTAGCTTTCCTGGACGAAAGTTTGTTGGAGGAGCTCACCAAGCCGCAGCCGATTCTTGTTCTCTCTTCGGAGCAGCAAGAACAGGTCCAATTGCAACATGGTTCTTGTTTCAGGTAACTCCAACTTTCATTTTCACCTCGGATTCATCACAATCGCGTCTCTTGCAGAGCCGAGTCTCTAAAGCTTGACAAATCGCCTCGCAAAAGGTCGACTTTTTCTTTAGTCTTGTAGCTCTGCTTCGCCCGTCGCGACGATCTTATTCTCATTTCTTCCGAGTCCCTGAGTTTGAAGTTTGGTTGACAAGTTTTGCTTGTTCTTCGTTCGATTTTGCAGGCCGCGGGACGATGCAACGTCCTCCAAGGCTGTCCGAGAGAAGATGAGACGGGATAAGCTCAATGATAAGTGAGTTGCCTCACTGTTTCCACGGGACTCCTGTGTTGAAAAGTTGTACTCTTGACAGGTTTCTGGAATTGAGCGGCGCACTGGAACCGGGAAGGCCTCTCAAGTCCGACAAATCCGCCATCCTCATCGAAGCGGCATGCGTTTTGCTGCAGCTGCGACAAGAGGCCCAGCAGCTCAAGGAATCCAACGACAAGCTCCGTGAAGCTGTTAAAGACTTAAAGGTTCGTTAGTGCGACACAGCAGAGCAAAGCAAAGCAATTACTCTCGCTCGCTTCCGCAGATTGAGAAGAACGAACTCCGGGACGAGAAGCTCAGACTAAAAGCCGAGAAGGAGAGGCTCGAAGAGCAGCTAAAGACGTTCTCGGTCTCCTTCGTCCCTCATCCCGCGTACCAAGCAGCGGCCGCGGCCGCGGCACTGGCTGCTCAAAACCACTCGCTTCCACCCTCCGAAAAGCTCAAGCTCGAGACGGTGTCGGCCTTCCCGGCAGGCGGGATGTGGCAATGGATGCCTTCGTCGTCCACTTCGACGGAGGATTCTCTCTTGAGGCCTCCTGTAGCTTGAGCGACTTTTTCTTCATCCTGGCGAACTTTTTGTCTTGTGAATAGGAAGTGGGCGTAAGAACAACTTCTAACTGTATGTAAAACCATAACTATACAATGACAAGAGCCGTATGATCGTGGATCAAAACCACTTGCATAAGGAAAATCAAACTTTCTGAAAAAACCATGAAAACCACACCTGGTAACCTTTCACGCTCCCACAGTCATGAAGGATTCATGAACGTGCCTTAGCATGGGCTCGTCTCTCGTCCAGTCCTGCGTGGGAGCTCTCACGTAGTGGGCGTAGAGCTTGTTCTTGGCGCACGTAACGAAGATGAGGCTGTGAGCCACCGGCCCCTGGATCTCATACTCGTAGTAGAGCTGGCCGGAATCGTTTTGCTTGTCCGAGGCCTTGATGCTATCGGCCTGGGAGATATCGTCTTGCAAGCTCACGTCCGAGAGGGAGAGATCGTTGAGGACGTTGTCTCGGTTGGCGAGCTTGCGAAATCCTGCCAAGTATGTGAGGTAAGTCTTCTCACCTTTCCTGCGTGGGTTGTAAAACTCCGAGTCGGTCCCATTCGTGCCCTTCTCGACCTTGGAGATGAGGCGCTCCTTCCATCCCTGGGGCACCTCGAAGATATACTCGGCCGAGTCCTTCTTGCTCGCATTCCCGCCATAGCCGCCATAGCTGGACGCGCTCGCGGCTGTGCCGTAATACGTCTCAAACGGCGAGGATCCCTCTTCCGCCGCTGCCGCCACCGGGGAATCGAGAGAGAATGCCGCCTTCGAATTCGATCCAAAGGCCGTGGACGACGTAAGCGCTAGCAGCGCTAGTGCCTGGCGCCTACCGCATGTAGCTGTGGATGCGGAGGCGATCGATCCTCCTCTTCCTGCCGCCGCGAAAACCCTAGCCTTAGACGACCTCGGGAGAGTGGCGAGGGAAATACAAGCCATTGCCGCCATGGCCACTATATCCGCATTGGCAAAGTTTTTAAACTCCGTGACGTGTCCCAAGAATATACCAAATGCTGTGCCCTAGATAAATCCACGTATCTGACACGTGGCTTACGTCCACGTGGCGACGCGTGCGTGGAGATACTTTGAGTGTGCTCTCCACGCACACAAAAATTTCGTTCTCGTTGCGAGAATATTTCTAGGCTAGGTAAGACGAGGCCATGGCGCCAGGCAAGCTCTAGAGATTCATTTTCTATGCGCTATAGCAGCTAGACCGATCAAAGAAATGGCTGCCGCGGCTGTCAATCGCTGCGTGTCGGCGCTAGATCCAAGGAGAAAGACAATTCTTGCTGTAGATCATTCGAATAGTGTAATTGGACGAGATTTAGGGAGAGCTGTTAGAGAATGTTCTTCCTCGGTATTTGAAAGGAAGCTCCGATCTTATAGAAATTATAGTCGTTCGGTGGCAGCAAGAGCAACAGTGGACGATAGCTCTTCCATTGGGACCGAGGCGCCTGAAGAGGACTACTACTCGGTTCTAGGATTGGTATGGTTCTTTGTTGTTCCTTTTTATGTTTTCAGTTCCTTGCTTTCATTTGTTCATTCTTTTCTAGGAGCCCGATGCTACGTCCGAGGACATTAGAAAGGCTTACTACTCCTGTATGAAAGAATGCCATCCCGATTTGATTGGAGATGACTCTGGAGCTACAAATTTTTGTATGTTTGTGAATGAAGTGTACGAGGTAAAAACGTTCTTTTTTTTTGTGTGTGTTCTTTCTCAGCTCACAATGAAAAGAATTGGTGTGTGATAGGTGCTGAGTGATCCGGAGCAGAGGATGGTGTATGACGAGATAAATGGCTACGCCCTGACTTCAAAGAACCCTTTCTTGAGTGTTACGTGTACCAAGGATCGAGTGTTTGTGGACGAGGTTTCATGCATCGGTACGTATCAAGCTTTTGTGTTCTCTCTCTTTCATTTTCTAATGTATAGTCGTGTCTCGAAGGATAGGATGTAAGAACTGTGTGAATACAGCGCCTTGTACGTTCGCAATTGAGGAAGAACACGGAAGAGCACGAGTTGTTTCGCAATCTGGCGACGCATCGCTTTCACAGATTGCTATAGAATCCTGGTAACTTCGTTGCCTATTCTCTTGTAAGTTTTGCTGGTGTCTAGCTTCATTTCTAGCTAACGCGAACTGTTTCCAAAGCCCCGTGGACTGTATCCACTGGGTTTCTGCTCCTCAGCTCGCTCTTTTAGAGGATGAAATGCGGAGAGTGGAGCGCGTGAGTGTAAGTGGCTGGCCGGCTATCTATAACTTCGTGATTAACTGAGCTCTCACAGGTTGGCGTCATGCTTTCAGGCATGGGTTATCAATCCGCAGACGTTTTTGCAACGGTAAGCTCTCTACATTTTGAGGCAAAATCGAGCACACAGAAATGTTTTCTCTTGCCAGGCCAGTACGAGGTGGGAGAAGAAGCAAGCAAAAGCCCGGGTACTCTCCCTACATTTTGTCCAAATGAGTTAACCATCTTCTCTTCTCACTGCAGATTCGTGCAATGAATAGAGCTGCGAACGCCCGGAATAGCTCCATGCATCCTTGGTGGCAGGGTATGTGGAACCAAACCATGGGAACAAGACCAGGCAAGTCTCGCATTCTAGCCCTTCCTCTCTCATCGCATCTATCAAACTGAGTGTGGCATAACAGAAGAATGGGAAAAACAAGCTGGGGAGAAGCGCAACCGAGCGGCTGCAGCAGCACGAAGATGGAGAGAGTACTCGAGGAGAGGATTTTACGGACGGCCGACGCAGATTCTTCCGGATAACAAACAAGACAATAATTAGCAGCTCGAATCACAGCAAATTATACTAATAAATACTGTATATAGTTTGAACAGTTTGCCGATTTTTTATTTTTCAAGCTGGCATGGATTGCTGATTTGTGGTTTTTGGTTATTCAAGCTGCTCGAGGTGCGTTCCACCTGGTGGTAAGCTTGGGTGGTGAACTCGCAATGTTAATGTTGTGCTCTAGCTCTAGAACTTCAGGACCTCTCAATACCTTTCATCATTAGCTATGGTAGGATTCAAAATTGGTTGTCTGTCCTCAATTTCTTTCTACATCCACAGCAAGTCTAGAACTGGCCACAACGCTCCTCCTGCATGCTTGATCTTGCACACTTTTACTTGTGTCAAAGGCTTCTTGTTCTGTCCATGTAGCAACTTTGGAGAGGTTACCTGCTATGTGTGAGAAACCAGTTTGATTTAATTCTGTCAACACAAACCCTTGCTCTTTTAATTGATTGTACCTCAGATTTAGCACCCTGAAAAGTAACAATCTCCCAAAATCCTTCTATAATAAACTGTTGTTATTGTGATGGCAAAATGAGGTCCAAAAACGCCTGAAATTTGATCAAATAAAAGAATAGAAATGTTACAATATTCTAACCAAGACTAATTATTAAGATCTTTACAACTGAAAAAAGAAAAACATGTTTAATGAATTGAGTAAACTTTTAAATTTTTATAAAAGTAAGCACTTAAATTTATTAGTTCAAGAATATTTATAATAAAAGAAAATATATTGTTCTATATATACTTAATATATAAAAGATGGACTGAACACAATAGAAGATTGAAATTGAATGTAGATGTGGAATAAGACCTTATAAACTATAGTTTTTAAGATATTGTAGTTAGAGTAATTTAACTAACGTTAATATAAAATTTATCATAAGAAAAGGAGATTACAAAGGCTGAAAAAGTATATAAATTATATGAAGACCAAGATGTAGTTCTTTTAAGATGATTAACTAAATTGAATTTCTCATTAGGATTTAATATATTAAATTTAAATAATTTCATAAATAAAAATAGAAATTTAGTATAATTTATTTAAATTGAAATCAGTATTAATTATCTAATTTTACTTTATTAAATCATGGATATAACTCTAGTTATAACTCTAGATTGTTTAATTAAAAATTCGTTTTAAATTATTTTAAGTAACATCACATGAATATATAATTTTATAATTCTATACTTTAAGAAATAAAGCTAGAATATTAATTAATTATATTTTTTATAAAAGAAAACTATGATAAAAAAACTGCCATAGAAGATTAAAACTATTTTCTATTCACTGTATTGAAATAGTTTATCTAAGTTTTATATTAAGAATTAATTATCTTGAATAATCAAGTAAAAAGAAATAAATATGAAAATTAGAGCCAATGTGAGTGCTTAGAATATGAAAAGAGAATACAAAAAATGTGTATATCAATTAGCCCAAAAACCTTAATTTATATATAGGAGCAAGTAGTCCGAATTGAAACCAATTTAACGACTACCAAAATCTCAATATACGGCATCGTAACCGTACACTTGGCCCTCACATCATTCCCTCCTCTCAAAATAATGAAAGACCATTAGGGTTCTCTTATAGATGGGCCGGGATTTAGAGGAACATTAAAAGGAGGCATCGGTAGATCTTTAAGTGGTATCAATTGTTCCTAATCCCTTTGTATGAAGTGTTTCAATTGCTGTACATATATAATTTCTAGAGGATCGACTTACTAAACGTCATGCTAAACCTTATAAACTTGTGGTCCAACTTGCCGCAATACCTGATACGGTCCTTTTCACTAAGCAAGGAGCCCCTTAAATAAACCATATACCGTAAAATGGGGAAAATGGACTAACACCAAGTCATCCACTTTTTACTTGACAGGTGAACGATGATGGGAATTGTAGCGCCGTTGTTGTCCCATTTGTACGTGGCCTAAGTGTTCGGCAGACTCTGCTCGGACAAGTGGAAGAATGCTCATCAAATACTAATCCCACTACTTAGCATTGGCAACTCGTGGTAATCGCAAAGGTAAACCTAGCTCTGTTAGTAATATTGAATCATAACCATATAAGAGTTTATATGGTGAAACACCAATAGAACTTTGCACCCTGTGACATACGCATATCGAAGAAATGGCAAATAACCATCCCAATCTAAATGCTAAAAGTTCACATACCTCATGATCATCCCTTTGAACATCTAAACGAGTCATTCCTCCAGATCGTTTGATTGTAAATGATAAACACTTGTGAAAGTGTGGCATATCCCCAATCGAGACGTCAAAACATAAAATGCCTCAGCCATAAATGCGGGACCATTATCCAAAAGAATTTGCTTTGGACAAGAATGCTAGAACACCACT